AATGCAAGTTCATTCACTCTTTCCGTGTTAACATGTTAGCAAAAGAAAAGTAAGGGAGTTCTATTTTTACCCCCACTATCTCAGCTGATGAGAAAAGAGATGTGATGTTGTGGAAATCTCAATTCAGCAGAGAACTTGTTCTAAATATAATCTCTCTAGGCACAAACCATCTCATTAAGCAGAGAAGGCAAGAAAGTTGAACACATTCGATCGTTTTTTTTTTACACGCTTATTGCCTGATGAATCCTAATAGAAAGAGCTTGAATTCACTACATTTACCTAGTAGTGGTGAGGGAGGAGAGGAGAAAATGGAGAGGCTCCATGTCACAGAGGTCTCGGCCTGTCATTCTTGTATCAGCCTTTCTATGGACAAGATGACCTGAGGCTCAATGTCAGATTTGGCAAATTCCTTATGCCCACCCTGAAAGCAAAAGCAGTTTGAGATAGACAAATGGTTTCTGTTTTATTTGCTGATCTTGTATAAAGTAGAAATACTTTTTGAGAGTGATTGTTGGTCTTTTAATTCCTACTTCCAGTTTCTCCTCAGCATGGCAAAGATAACTCGTAATGTATCTAGCTTCCTTTCTCCCTCCCCACCCCCAACATGGGACAGGACAATATTCAGGAGTGACATCTTCATAATGAACAAAAGAAGGATAGAGAGTTGTGGGGTTTTTTGGGGGGTGGAATTCTTTCACAACACCAGCTTGCCATGATTAAACGCTAAGTGAGTTGGATCACAAACTGAATCAAGGATTCAAATCTATTGTTAATGGACCTCAGACATACCAATGATGTGATCCTTGTTCAATAACTCTGACAGGAGCAATGTATCAAACCCAAAGGTACATTTTTTTTCTTTGTGTAGGGGCTGGTACTGGGGTTTGAACTCAAGAGTCTTAAGTCCTCACATAGCTATTTTTCCTCAGGGCTAATGCTCTATCACTTGAACCATGACTCTAGTTCTGACCTTTTGCTGGTTAATTGGAGATGAGTCTCTTGGACCTGTCTGCTTGGGCTGGCTTTAAACTTCAATCTTCAGATCTCAGCTTCCTAAATAGCTACAGCCACCAGCGCCTGGCTTATTATTATTATTATTTTTAAATAGTTGTACAAAAAGATTTCAACATGTAAGTTTATGTATAATGCATCATGATCAAATGTACCCTCTTCCTTCATTCTCCACCTCATGTAAGACTATGTCCTTATTCAGAGAGTATATGTTGAGTTGAAGGCTGATGAACTAAATTTCTGTCAATTGGAGCTTATCCAAATTCACTGTGAAGTTTCACTTATTAGCACCTGGATACTGTTTTGTTGGTGACATTCTATTTTCTTTTCCAGGAAAAATAAACAATTCTTTCTGAATGGGACATGTTTAAGGATTATTTTCTTTGATTGTTCTCTCTTTCTTTTGAAAAATTACTTTTTTCCTGGAAGCCAGAAGTACAGGTATATAACTGATCATTTTGCCTCTACAAATTCAAGTTTGAATTTTATTTTTACCTGAGAAAGCCATTCTCCAATTTTACCTACTAAATTTGTTTTCTTCTTCTTTTTCAAACAAGGGCCCAAGTCTCTGGAGAATTTGGAAACAAACATGAAGAGAGCCCTAAAAAAACTCAGCCATTGAGACAGTCTCTTTAAAATGCTAGACCTCAACTGCATATCCGGGCAGAGTCCTGCCAGGGAAAGCAAGTCCTGCTGCCAAGAAAAGCAGAGACCACAAATTGCTACCAAACCACTTTGAAATGCTCACATCTTCCCAACAACCTCAAAAAAGATGAACTTATCCAAGCCCTAGGGATCCAAGGATTTCACCCATTGTATTCACAGGATCCTAAAGAAGAAAAGATGCCCTGAAGCCAAAGACCACTAGAAACGTATGTGCAGTCAAACAGTTGGATTTCCTTCTTGCAATGAGCCAGGAGGCACATCAGAGAGTGCTGAAGGAGTGTTAGAAAGAGGTTATAGAGTTGAGCTTCTAAGTGACTTAGGGGGAGGTTTGGAGAAAGGAAAGTCTTTGTTCAGGATAGGATGCTGTCAGAAAGAGAGGGTACTTCTATACCAGATTAATACATCTTATCTAAGAGGGAGAAAGACTAGCTCTAGACTACAGTTCTGCATGGCAGAAAAGCAATAGGCACTCATATAAGCCAGAGAAGGACAATGTTTGATATATTTCTGGGGTTTATGTACTCACATGGCATCTTTCTGTTGTTACACGAGATATGAAGTAGTCTTGTTTGTATCTTGAACTATCACAGTCACAGAATGCCACTGAATGATACTGGTATTCTGGCACGAACATTTATCTCCAAGAATACATCACAGGCCAGCTGGGGATGCCCTGTCAAGCCTGGGCATCAAAGCCTAGCTAATAGAATGTTGGAAGTCAGAGGCTACAGATGTAGATTAAAAAAAAAATGGAACCGTCATTGCAAAAGAAAACAGGACCAAAACCATTGTGGATGAAGCAGAAGCCTTTCTTCCCTGCTTCTCACGGCTGGCATCCTCAAGTGACACTTTCCCAGCACTGATATTCCATAACATGGGATGGTTTTGTTTCATGTCAACTCTGGGAGCCAGAAAATGAGTTGAAGAGTTCCATCCCATGCATGGTGCTGGCTTAAAGTGGGCAGAAGAGAAACTCACATGAGATTTGGAAAGGAGAGTGAAGCCACAGGAAAAGTTGAATGGAATACATCAGACACAGGCCATTCATTCACAATGCCACTGGTCTACCAGATCACCTTGCTGGAGGACAGCACCCAGGCCTATAGCTCCTTCCATACTTATTGGAAATCCTCTTCTGGGTTTCTTTGAATCTTGACCAGGTGCCTACACAGGCACATGCTTCTCCTGCAGGTCACCTATATCATGGAGACTGGGGCATCAAGAAACAAGCAGGGGATTCCATTTGTTTTCAGTGGACCCAATTTGTCCTTGTTCTGTCAGCTGTACATCCAGGTTTCCTTCCAATTACTGGCATGATTGACATATCCCCAATACCCGGAGCAAAGGGAACACCTTGCACAGTCTTCTCCTTCAGTGCCCACAGTATTGTGTGGTCATTAGACTTCCTTACTCTATGTGGATCTTAAGTGTTCTGATTTTCTAAAGAGCCTCCAACTGATTGAGGAACAAGGATATCTCTCATCCCTGGAGTCTTGTCCTAGGATGCAAGGGTCCTTATGCAAACAGAGATGCAGAACATTCCTACAACAGCCTATTTTCAGTCAGTGTGATAGAGTACTCCAGACTGAGAGTAAGACAAAGAAATGAAGATTTAATCCAAGGATGCTAACAAATGGCCACAACGCTCTTTAGTAATGTTCTCAGGATTTAAAGACATAGTACATTCCCAAGAGGTCTAGAGTCATAACTGAAATTGTGTGTGTGTGTGTGTGTGTGTGTGTGTGTGTGTGTACTGGATCTGAGTGGTGAAGCAAGAAGGAGAAAGGACACTTTGTAGTGAAGAAGATACCAAGAAAGAGGGGAACATGAAGATAGAGGAGGAAAACCGAGGAAATCAGAATAGTCAGCCAGTGCAGAGTGCTCTCTAATGCAAATGTGGAGGCTTTGCAGTACCGTGTCCAGCTAGATAGCCCAGGCTTTGTGAGGTACTATGTGTACCTCACTGTATACCAAGTGAGTTAGCTTTCCATTACTATGACAAAATACTTGAGAAACTTATAAAAATGAAAGATTTTTTAGCCCATGGTCACTTTGTTCTTATGCTTTGGACCTATAGTGACACAGTACCTATTGGTAAGAGTACATGACAGAGAAAACCACTCACCTTGTGACAGCATGGAAACCAAGAAGAAAGAAAGAAAGGAAGAAAGAAAGGAAGGAAGGAAGGAAGAAAGGAAGGAAGGAAGGAAGAAAGAAAGAAAGAAAGAAAGAAAGAAAGAAAAAGGAAAGATTCAGGTCCCAATATTTCTGTTAAGGCCATACCCCCAGTGACCTAACTTCCTTCCTCTAGGCCCCGCCCCCTAAAAATTTCACCACTTCTCAATAGCACCACAGGCTGGCCACCAACATTTACCACAGGGGAGATATAGGGAGATGCTTAAAGTGTACATCTTCATACCATACACAGGTTCACTGCTTTATATTGTCTCAACTGTTGGAACTACCTCAAAAAACATTTTAAATCTTTTATCACTGTATTATGGCAATTGAACACAAGAAGGTAAGTAATTTGCCTTAGATGACTGAGAAAAGATGAGGGGAAACAGGAATTTGAGTATTTGTAATCTCAAATCTCCAGCCTCAGTCAACGCTTCAGCTAACCAGAATCTCAGACTAAGCTTCTCTCCAATTCCCAATGCACCCAAACTGTGAAACAGTTGACCTGCATTGTTTTAAGCCACTCAATGTTGGGTAAGTTTTGCTCAACAATTGACAACCATTACAGGTCACTGAGCTGAAACCAGGGAAAGCTATGGTCCCAGAACTCCAAGGTATCTCCCTGGAGAAGAGAGTTCTGGCAAGGAGAGTAGAAAAAAGATAACAGACTTAACTCATCCCTTCAAAGAGAATATTACTGAAAAGATCACATAGGTATTCATGTTTTTTTTTTTTTTACTCCATTAGCCAATGGGACTGGGGCTTCAGAGGCAACAACCATAAGTTAGAGGAAACCGTGATACTGCAGGTACTTGGTATATTTAACCGTGGTGTAAGTAACTGTGTGATTCCAATTTAAATTGCTATAGAAACATAACCAAGGTGTGTGTGGGAGGGGGGACTAGAAATCAGCTAACCCTGGTTTATTTTTGGTCTGTGTCTTATCTGAGGGCACCATACTCTCTATTCCATCAGCCTATGACCCACCATATTCCAAAACACAAACAGCATTTCCATGTTGAGGAATCACAGCCCTTGGCTCTGTGTTAAAAGTCTGTCACCAAGCCACTGGCCCAGCTCACCTAGGTCAGGGAAACTGCCAACAGGAATGAGAGCATCTCACATGTGTTTTGTCGGTTAGAGTCCAACCCTTGTTTTATTAAAATATTTACAGAGATAGGAAAAGCAAAGAATCAGATTAGACTATGGTGAATGTGCCACAGTCAGGCTACCTGCGACTTCGCAAGAGACTCTTTGGAATTGGATTTGGCTGAAGTTTTACAAGAGGCCTGGCTTAGCACAGACCACCCCAGGTCCACTCTCTCCACGACAAGTGCCCATGCCATTGGCTTCTCTGAAAAGTAAGGAAGGCCACCAGGTCAATTGAATGGAATGTTTGTTTGTTTGTTTGTTTGTTTCTATTCAGATTTTTGTTTCTTCTTCAGAGAAACTCTGCTCTAGCTAGTCCTGGCATCTTTCAAATGGTTTCCAAGCAGTCAGAAAGGAGGTGACCAGCCAGAAACCAAGCTTTTCTTCCCTCCATTGAGCTATGTGTCTGAAATCAGAAGCCCTGATAGATCTAAGTTCATGGGCAAAAATCACACTTCAGGTCTACACTGCATAGTGCAGCACATACAGAAAAGCTTCTCCATGACCCTGAAGCTGGTTCATTTCATATTTCTCTCAACCCAGTCTTTAAAAGGCAGCACTTTGGTGAAGGCTGTGGAGAGGTGATGATTGCATGTTTTGTCATAGCTCCAGCTGACCAGGCCTACCAGATGCCAACGCGGCTCTGGGGATGCTCGCCCTGGGAAAGACATTGCTGCGATACCTCCTGTCTCTGCAGTACAGATGTCAGAAGGTGCACTGGGGTCCTGGATGGCACAGAACATGTTATCGGTGACACTCACTGGGATGCCATGGTCTTCATGCTGTTCCTCACACAGCAGTGAGTCCACCACTCGGACCATCCCCAAGCGCAGTGTGTCATTCTTGAATCCAGGACTCCTTACATCTGCTAGAATATTCCAGCCAGCCACAGTGATGTGGGATTCCTGGAAGGAGATGCTGAGGTCCCGAGTGGCAGCAAGGCAGACAGGCTGAACGTGGGTGCTAATGCGGGCCTTGTCTAGGAGCTTCAGGATAGCGATGTCAGCATCGAGAAGGATGGGGTCATAGTTGGGATGAAGAATGATAGCAGCAACCTATAAATGCAAGGAATGGGTAGCCATGGTGAACAGCCAGCTCCATGGAAGACAAGAATAGCCAAGCTTTGGGGATAAATCATTGGGACAAATGGTCTAAGTGACAGCTGCAATACTTAGCTCAAAGACTAGTAGAGAGCAATTGTTCTATTAGGAGGTCTGCAGACTGAAGTACCTGGCAGGGCCTGGCAGGTGCTATTTAAAAATGGGGGGTGACTGCAGATAAGCCTAAGTGACATGGCAGGCAGGGTAGTCTATTACAAACATACAGCTGGTTTAGCCAGAGCCCCCACTCCCAAGGTGAGCCACTTCTCACCCGTAAGTTCTGGATGGTCTTCTCATCCCGGTCATCATCCCGGTAGAATTTTCCAAGAACAACTTTCAGGTCCGCCGTCTTGATGATGGACACCTTCCCCAGGTCAGTAACACAATGGGCCGCCACCACCACGGTGCGCTCATTCACTAGGGCACCACTGCAGACCAGGAACCACGCGCCCTTGTGCAGGCCCCCATCAGGCTCCCCGCTCGTCCTCCTGTAGATGGCTGCTTGCCATGGCCAACGGGTCCCTTGGATCTTTGGAGAAGTGATGTTCTCAATTTTCCCACAGACTATGGAAAAGGCACTGGTTCAGTATGACAAACTCAGACTTTTCTCATCCACCAGGGGATGGGAGTACTAAACAGGATAGCACAAATCTAAAGGGCAAACTCCATGGGCAGGCACGATCCCACGAAGCCATTGAACTTCGTTTTCTCCTCCCTTTAACTATTGTTCAACCACAGTGGACATGGTTGACTGAAGAGTCCAGTTAAAATTGAAAGCTTTGAAGTCAATAAAATGTGTTTGAATCAAAGAATGGACTACAAATGGTACTTTGGACAAGTTTCCTAAACTTTTAAAAACTCAGTTTTCTTGCCTGTAAAATGGGTAGGGTAATAACAATGGCTTCATAGGGTTGTTGAGAAGACCAAATAAGATGTTGTATATAAACATTCAAAATACCAGGACTGTCATCATAAACATGGCCACAGTGAAGAAACTGTATTGTTCTTTCACATAGAGAATGGCTGGATACATGCAATACCCTATTCCAGAAACAGCTAGGTATCATCTGAATCATCATCATCATAGCCACATGAAATAATTACTATCTTATTTACGTAATAACAACAGTATAATTTACATTATGGCATAATGAGTGTGAAAATGGAGTTGAGACAAATTTACCAACAGACAAATCAGCCAAGAAGACATGGCTAGAGGCGTCTGGTACCTTTTAACCCCTTCCCACCTGGTGTTTACTGCTGTCTCTTTTTTCTCCTAGTAAATATATCAGAATTATCCACAAGAAATTATATCATTGAGATTTTTTTATAGTACTAGGATTTGAACTCAGGACTTCATGCTTGCTGGACAGCTGTTCTACCGCTTGAGCCATGACCTGGCTATCTTTAGTTATTTTTCAGGAAAGGTCTTGGATTTTGGCCAGGGGTGGTCTCTGACTGCAATCCTCTTACCTATGGCTCCCTGTGAAGCTGGTAGCACAGATATGAACTATAACGCCCTATAACTATAATTAACGTTTTGCCTAAGCTGGCCTTGAACTACCATCCTCCTGATCTCTACCTTCTTACTCGCTAGGATTACAGTCATGAGCCACTCCACCCAACCTTGTCTATTGGATTTGATAAGTCTGTTTCTCCCGGATAGTAAGTTTAAGCCATGTGAAAGAAGCTTTTCCTGTGGAATGTCAGATCAAGCTAAGGAAAGCAGTGGAGGACCATTCCTTTGGACAAAGAGAATTTCCCCAAAAGTCTTCAATAGGATGAATGGATTCTTACAGACAGCCTTGGAAAACAGAAGATGCTGTAGCTCAAAGATCCTGACTCACTTGGGATGCAAGACGGAGCCCGCCCACTCCACTTCCCAGTCTGCAAGCATGTCCTCCGGCTGCTGCCCAGGCGACGGTAGAAGGGAGAGATGCATTCATACTGCAGCTGTGTGTGTAGATGCTGGTACCCAGCAGGCAGATCTCCAAAGGGAAGGGCCGGCTTCTTGGTAGCAGCATCCTGCAGTTTCTGCTTGCTGAAGGCTGATGAGTATAGCTGATGTAATGGTGTTGCCCTGGGTCAGGGCACAAGGGCCCAAAGAAAAACAGGGCAAGAGGCTTTAGCCTTACTAAGCCCCATGTAGACACTTGGTTATAGAAGAGAAAAATGCCTACCTCCTTCTCTGTGTGTCTCTCTAAACATACTTCACCTGTACCATTGAGCAAAACCTTCACACATCAAACTTTTTATTCCTCCACTCCCATCTTTGTCAGCTTTTTAACCCCCAGGGTTCTAACTAAATTGCATCTGACATAATAACAACTCTCCACACATATGCTTTGCACACACACACACACACACACACACACACACAGAGTGAGAGAAATTTAATTGCAAAATTAAACAGCAAAAGCAAGTTAATTTAAGTGGGAAAAAAACAGACACATTTTCCCCCTCCAAACATTATCATAATGGGCAATATTAGAATTGACTTGAACTAAACTGTGTTGATACAGTAGCTTGATTTAGCAATTAGCAGATGTAATTAGTTCACCTCAGAGAATAGAACTTTCTCTCTGAGCCCACTGATTGGGAGAAATATGAAGTGTTGTATGTAAATGTGGGAGGGTGTATCAAATGAGCCCTAAAGTTGAAACCCCCAGAGACTATTTTCAGGGGTTCTTTCGAGAGGGGTACACATGTCTATTTTCTTACAGCATATAATGGCTGCCAGATGACAAGTCAGAATTCCTCTAAGAGTTAGTGTCTTCATCCCTGTTTAATAAATAGAGAAAGGGAGCCCAGTGGGGTGCACAGATGATCAGAGGAACACAGGAAATAAAATGCCCCCCATCCAGAATGTGTTTTGCAGGCACAATTTTCCCCCTGCTCTCCCTAATATCAGCTTGGTATTGGTGTAAGAAATTTATTTCCTATATCTCAACCATACTTGGCTCAGAGCAAATATTCCATCCATATTGATTTCCCTTGGCATGTTTATATGCAGGTTTACAATTCTGGGAGCTTTGGAATTTGCAAATAAGACTATCTCTTGGCCACTGTGTGGCCAGCACTACCATTGGAGGCTGTCCCATTGAAGCTGGCTACTAGAGATAGGCATATCCCCATTTAGCATCTGGTTTTCCAGAAATATGCTTCAAACCAAGTTTTAGGCTTGTTTTCTCATTTACTTGAGATGCCTGACACCTGGCCAAGTAGCCTTTCACTAAAATTGCCTTAACCAAAGGAAGGCCTGAATTCTTCCTCAATAGCTCAGGATTCCTTTACAAGACATCATCAAACTAAGGAAAAGCAATGGAGAGGTGTCCTTGGGAAGAATAGGTAGAGTCTACTTGGTGGAAAGTACAGCTTAGGGAAACCACAAAGACAGGAAGTCAAAGGGGAATCTGTAGTCTATCAATAATGTTTGCTTGCATGAAAAGAGGAAGACAAAAATGGACCAGAGTCTGAGGAGAAGTGAGAAGTGGATGGATATCCTTCAATGGGAGGCTTCCAGGCCAAGTGTAGCCTCTGGGATTCACTACTAGTATTTCTAACAATAGCTACTCCAACTGCTGAGTGAGTCTATGGACAAGGTGCTTGGCTAAGACTTTCATTTAAGGCTTGATGTCTAATGCATAAGGACCAAGCAGCCTCTGAAGCTGGATAATAAATTCATTTCCTGGTTTCCCACTTTCTTCTTACAATGTGACCTTGAGCGAGTTGTTTAAATTCTCTGAGCCTCAGTTTTCCCATATGTAGTAAGATGAAAATAAAAAGGCAATAATTATAACACTCATCTCAAAGGTTACAGTGAGGATTTAATAAACAAATGCACATACATAGAAAAGCAACTGGCTCATTACACATATGTAATATGGGTTCGCTATCATCAGTGTTGCAAATAATCTTTGCAAAAATCTCTGAGACTATTAAAATTACCCTAGCTTTTCAAAAGGAGAAACTAGGGCTCAGCAAGTCCAGCAGCTTGCTTAAAAATATCCAGGACTAAAGAGAAGCAATAGCAGACCTTGAACCTTTGTCAACTCATTCATTCAGTAAGTCTTTTTTGAATGTCTTCTATGTGGTAGGCTCTGCTTCAGCCACTAAAATGTCAGCCTGAGCAAAGTAGACAGTGTCCTTGTATTTGTAGCTTTTATATTTGGGGGTGGGAAGATCCAAAGTGAACAGAGAAATACCCACTGTGTGTATGCATGTGTGTCTTTCTGTGTAGGGGTGTGTGTGTGTGTGTGTGTGTGTGTGTGTGTGTGTGTGTGTGTGTGTGTGTGTGTATGAGAGAGAAAGAAGGAGAGAGATAAAGACACACAGAGGGATATGGACAGAGAAGCAAACAAGCAGAGCCAAAGAGAAAGACATGGAGAAAAGGAGAAAGAGAGACAGGGATAGACACAGAGACAGAGAAGAAGAGGGAAATACACACACACACATGCACACATGCACACACAGACAGAAAGAGAAAACAGGGGGAGAGAAATGCTAAGGTGGAAAGAGAAGCATGAGAAAGGCCAGAATACATAGGCAAATGGAGTCAGCTTGGCATTTTCTTGCTAAACAAGTCAGAGAAGGTATCTGTCAGGAAAGAAATGAGAAGAGAGCTAGAGGAATGGAGTTTTTAATTCCCTATAATGTCCAGACAGAAAGAGCCACAAATATAAAGTTTCCAAAGCAGAATTATGCTTGAAGTGATACAAGAAAACCTAGGAGTCCCAGGCAACTGGTATAGCAAGAATGAAGAAAAGAATGTAGAAGGTTTGAGTAAAAATAGGCCTCTTCTTTCTCTACTAAAGGGTCACCACCGCTGTCATCTCAGGAGGAAACATGGGCATACCTAAAGACTACCATCATCTGTCATCACTTCTGGTCATTTATCTTGAGTGCCTGGGCTCCACTGGCCTGCCTCATCTAGTTACAAAACCATCTTCCTAAACTATAAGCTGCTGGATTCAGTAGGAGGGCCAGCTCCTAGAAGCTGTCATAATAAATATATAATAATTTCAGGAAGACTCAAGTATTAGAAATCCAGTTCCTCAAAGACTATCAGAAAGTCTTGCTTCTTACCAACCATCTACTTTCCCACGATCCAATAAAACTTGTATGTCTTCCAAGAGTTGCTACCTCTCAGCCAAAGGCAGCTGGCTAATAAGCTTCCATCTAACAAGTTCCTTTCTTTCATGACCAGTTAGCACTAAATGTCCCTAAGAAACCCCAGACTGTCGTTGGCCAAACACAAGCAGAGAAAGGGGACGGGAGAGGAAATACTGATTATCCTTTGAAACAGAGGTCAGGTATTTCTGTCTCACCTTGATTGAACTTGCATCGGAAGAACTTTCCTCCTCACCAGGTCTGAGATCTTTGGTTCTCGACAGGCTACAGAAGAAAAACCAAACAAACAAATCAAAACTCTCACCTCTGAGTTTCCATTTCTAGAGGCCAGGTGCTTATTTACTCAGTCTCAAAGGTAAGACATGGCAACCAAACACGAACAGTTCACTTAGCAAAAGAGCAGATGCCCTGACCCCTACTATATGCACAGAACATTTTGAAGACAACGCTGAAAGGCAGCTCTACACAGGTGATTGGAATGGTGTCTGTTAACAGATTAGGAGCATCTGTGTTTGGGAATAATATTAGTGAACTTGGTCACAATAGAATAAGATTCAAAAGGAAGATTCTGAAATATAGGCCATTTAGGGATTTAGATGGTTCCTCATGGCAAACCAGACAGGAGCATCGATCACAGATAAATCTCAAGTCTCTGATATTATCCTTTCATCCCGATGAAGGTCCTTTAGCCATGATGAAGGACAATATGAAGCCCAGTTTAATTTCATTAAAGTCTCTCTTTTTCTATTCAGAAGTGAAAAGGGATCCTTCCCCATTTCACTTTCCCAATCAAGCAGCCAGTATTTGTCTAATTAGCAACTTAGAGTACTTTGGTTGTATTAATTTGTAAGAGAACAGTTGACAAAAATCTCCAAGGACATATGTAACACTGTACCCATACTTAATGAAATAAAAAAAAAACAACAAAACATCAGCCTCTGTGCTGGTGGAGATGAAAGTCGCTTCTGGCTAAAGTCTAAAGTGATTTATCCCTTTCATTTCTTTCTTTATTCTCTTTCATTCCTTTTCCCATGATTCGGGTTGTTGACAAACAACCAGAAGAGAAAGTAGAGGGTAAAGGCAATTATCTGGATAATCTAGGACAAGAACCTGATTTTCTTCCCAGTAAACAGCCACATCATTGTGACCTGATCCCCAATACAGGAACTGCTAACCTGAAGCTATTTGCCAGTAATTAATGCAGTAGGAAACTACTCAACCCCACTGCCATAGGGAGGTATACAACTTCCTTAAACAGAATTTCACTCTTCTGATTCCAATCTACCTTTTTAAATTTGCTTCCTAGCTTTTCTCACCTGCAGCTTACTGCGCAAGTCTTTCACTTCCGCCTACATCTCTTTTCTTTTCCTCTGTCTTCAATCTGGAATACCATACCAAATCCTTTTTCACATCTTTAAATCCTTTCCAGTTTTCCAGACTAACCTCAAACCTACTTACTTCATACAATGATCTCTATTTCAGAAATGCTTATATCTCCTTCCCTGAGCTACTTCTTTGGTTAAATGTTTGACTGTTTATTGTATTTGTTTTTAGACATACAGATCTCTAGACATGCTTTAGACATCTGTATGTCTAAAAACAATCTGTGTGTGTGCATGCATGGATACCAGGGCTTAAACACAAGATTCATGCTTGCTTGGTTTGTATGTTCATGGCTGGTGCTTTATCTCTTGAACTATGCCTCCAGCCCAGCTCTTTGCTAACAAATTGAAGATGGAGTGTTATGGACTTTCCTTCACTAGTTTCAAACCATGATCTCAATCTCCTCAGAAACTAGATTCCAGGCCTTAGTCTCTTGAGTAGCTAGGATGACAGACATGAGCCACCAGTGTTTAACTTAATTTTTAGGCCTCTTAACATCACTAGCCTCTCCCCACAAAGGTATGATATATCTTTATTTCTTTTATTTCTCTTAATTTTATTTCTCACATGATCTTAATATTGCATGAGACTAGATAAGTGTAGCTAAATAAAGGCTTATAAATTCTGCTCTTGGGTTTGCATATATAAAACTCAGGCCTGTCATCTTTTCCACACTGTTCTAATAACTAGATCATTCTTTTTCTTTTTTTTTTGTCAGTCGTGGGGCTTGAACTCAGGGCTTTGCAGTGCTTTCCCTGAGCATTTTTTGCTCAAGGCTGGCACTCTACCACTTTTAGCCAAAGGGCCACTTCCAGTTTTCTCGTGGTTAATTGGAGATAAGCGCCTCATAGACTTTCCTGCCTGGACTGGCTATGAACTGTGATCCTCAGATCTCAGTCTCCTGAGTAGGTAGGATTACAGGTGTGAGCCACCAGTACCCGGCTCTGTCCCACTCTTGGTCACTTCAAGATGTTGTGATTAGCTTAAACAAGTACTCCCGACATCCAGAAAAAAAGAAGAAACAAACAATTTTAGGGATGGTTTCCAACCTAAGAGTTACATAGGGTTCCCAGGACAACTTAAGCAAGACAAGCATTTTTTTCCAAGGGTTTTAGAGCATGCGTGAGAGTAATCAAAAAGGATGGTGATCCCATCTGAGTCTAGAGAAGCCAGAAGCATCCACAAATTACCTTTTATGCAGATGGGCTGTTTCCCTGACCACTGTCCATTCTGCTGACAGGTCCTTTTCTCATCGCCACTAAGAACATAGGAGTTGTTACAAAAGAAGGACACAACAGTGCCAATCTTGGCATTACGCCCATTTAGAAGCCCAGGGCCTCCTGTTATTTTCTTGTATCCGTTGACTGGACCCCCAAGGTCTGAGCAGTTTCTTTCTTCAAGAACTAAAAGTGAAAAAGGAAAAAAAAAAGATAAAGAAGAACTGTTAGGGGTTTGAGTTATCCAATTTTAGAAGAGAATCTTTTCACATTTTATTGAATTGAAAATGCAGTGAGACAGACTGTGAACGGTGGCACCTAGAAGAATTACCAAGAGAAATCTCATAATAGAAAATGCATGTGTTGGGCATGTCTTTCCTTTGTTTTAATGATTTACTCTTACACATTGAGAATGCTTTCATTCTAAATATAAGTAAATTTGACACTAAATCTGCCTCTCATATGAGCGTATTAATTTCTTCTCTCAAACTGTGGGAGCTTAGCAAGCCTGGACAAAATAAATACTTCACAGGGGTTTTAGTATCAATATTCAAGGGTTAGTGTTTTGGAGAGTTGTTATAATATCCCCTTGGTTTCTTAATACTTGGAGAACTAAATTAAACTATTATGCTTTCTGTTTATCTTGTATCCTGAAAGTTGAACTGAATAGGAACAAGAATGGATATATAAAATGAACTCTGATTTTACATTTCATATCCAGAACACAATAATAAAGTGTGCTGAAGCTTTAGTTTCAAAACAAAACAAAACAAAAAACTAGAGGAACTAGGCACCAGTGCTTCATGCTATAATCCTAGCTGCTCAGGAGGCTGAGGCATGGAGAATCAAAGCCAGCCCAGGCAGAAAAGTCCACAGGACTCTATCTTCAAAAGTAACCAGCAGAAAGCTGGACTGGAGGCATTGCTCAAGGAGGCTCAAGGGTTAGAACACCAGTCAACCATATAAGTGGAGTGAGCCCAAGGCCCTGATTTCAAACCCCAGTACTTAAAAAAGAATCAATAAACAAAAAACTACTAGAGGATAATACAAAGGCAGAGATATAACAAAGTTCTCCTAGTCCCCAAATTATAACTTTCCATCTGTATACTTAATATTCATTTCAAAGGTAATCTATTTTTTAGCTCCTGTTGAAGAAGCTACTTAAAGTAGAAATGTATCACCAGCTGTTCTGATCATGGAACAAGATTTTGGATACAGTCTGGAAATATTCTGTCAGGTAACATGTTTTTCTCAAATATATTATGCCACCATAAGAATTTAACCTTTAATTACTGAATTTAGGTACCAATCAGTAACTGGGTCCTTTGACAGCCTCCCTGGGCTGTTTTTCATCATTTCTTCTAAGATACAACCTCATCCCTATAAAACATTTCTCATTGAACACAATTATGTATTTGACATCCTTTTCTTCTTATAAGTGTCTCAAGTATATTACAGGTAATCTATGTGCCTGCCTCTAGGCAAGAAAAAAGAATCTCCATTCAGATAATACCTGTCAACTGTTTCAGAATTTAAACTAAACTCTTCCCTGTGTTATGCGGCAAGGTTTCTATACCCCACCTCATGGCTTCTTCTCCCAGGCTGCCAATGGACCAAGGTGCAGAAGATCAATCATTCCCTATGTGCTTTAGGGACAGGAAATAGGAGCAATTCCCTGGAGATGGGGGGAGGAGGGGGAGATGAGGTGAATCCAAAAGTTCTATTTTTAAGTGTTAAAAAAAATCAGACTTCACTGAGCAAGCTGCTTAAAAAATACTGAGATGGTATGAAAAAGGCAATGCCTATTTTGATGCTTTGAGTGGACTCAGAAAACCTCAGTGCTATATTTTCAAGGATGACTCCAGGATGTGAGAAGAAGAGCAGAGAAAGCAGGGCAAGTTGCTTCCATAATGGAGCTGTATTCTGTGACAACTGACTCAATCATTTCTGAACATAGAGCCCAGAAGGTCACCACTGAGACCCAGAGACTGTAATCAAAATCACAGTTTAGTCAACCTGCAAGGTTTTGATTGTTTTTCTAATTTACTTTATTGATGTTTTAGAGGTGATATGCAGTAGGATTACATTTACATACATCAGGTAATAAGTACATTTCCTTTCACATAGTGTCATCTGTTCCCTCATTCTCTCCCATCTCCACCCACTTAAAAAACGCAATTAGTAGCCAACATAAAATGGGGATGTCACTTGGCACCCATGGCTTATGCCTGGAATCCTAGCTATTCAGGAGGCTGAGATCTGAGGATCACTGCTCAAAGCCAGCCCAGGCAGGAAAGTCTATGATACTCTTATGTCCAATAAAACACCAGAAAATCGGAAGTGGCTCAAGTGGTAGAGTGCTCGCCTTGATCTGAAGAGCTGAGGGACAAATGCCCAGGCCCAGAGTTCAAGCCCCATGGCCAAAAAAAAAAAAAAAAAAAGATGGAGATGTTTCACACAAGAATATATATTACTGACTTCTAATACAATTCAGAACTCGAACAGAGGGCCTACACTATCACACAGCAATGATAACAGGAGTTGAGGGCTCATACAATCCCTACCACTGCCTGCCCCTACAAGAATCTATGGCCAGTTGGCCTATCAAAGGCCATGGTTTATGTCATTCAAGTGTCATTTTTTAAATTCATTTTGAGCTTCGCTCATGACAAAAATAAAAAAAAGATTGAATAAAATTTAAGACCAGTCCTGTCATACTGAGAGAAAAATGAACTACATTTGAGCCATGTCAGGCTCCGAAGATAAGAAATCCTTTCTACTGATGGTTTGAGCAGATAAGCCTGAGAGTTGAGTTTTTCTCCCTTCGAAAGAAAGCACCTCTATAGTGTGAAAGTTCTGGACTCCCACATGTGATTTGCCATGTGCAGGGTTTTCATGGAGGGTCATATGTATATGATTTAGAACAATGCAGGTCTTTTGCTTCTCCCACTGAGGAGACTCCAAAAAAAAAAACACAAAACCTAATGTGGCAAGTTTGTTGATAGTGTGTTCAAGTCTTCTTCTGTCTCCATCCTGATTTTGTCAGTTTGGTTTTTTTTTAATCATCACTTATTGAGTTATAGATGTAATAAAATTTCATTCTGTAATGGTTGATTTTCCCATTTCTCATTTGAGTTCATCAGCTTTTACTTCACATATTTTGAAGCCTAACTTTAGGTATATACACAATTGGAATTGTTATGATGAATTGAACTCATAATGCAATGATAATTTCATTATCTTCATAATACCGTTTTCTCTAAAATTTATTTTGTTTGACTATAATATACCCATTCCATATTCTTTGAGATTGGCATCAACATGTTATTTCCACTTTGTGTTTCTCTATTTCTGTCTTTGTATTTAAAGTACATCTTTTCTAGGCTACTTGGAGCTTACTCTGTCTACATTCTGAAAATCTCTGCTTTTTAATCTGGATGTTTAGACTATTTATATTTAATGGTATTGGTATGTTTAAGTCTGTCATCTTTCTGCTTGTCTTTTTGTTGGCCCATATTGACGTTTTTGGAATAATTTTTCAATTCCTTAAAAAGAAAGTAAAGAAAAAAATATTTGAAATATAAACACCTCTACCCAGGGTTGAGAGATACTGTTACCATTCCACAACTCTTATTATTATAATCTGACATTTCTTAAATCAGGTCACACATGTACTTTCCATACGGTTATTTCTCTATTTCTGACCCCTCCATACAAAGCTATGATTAAATCACCAGTGCAGCGTGAACTTGATGAAATTTTAGAATGGAGAACTTTTACTTGGTTTTAAGTTAGTGCTTATGAAATGTGATCAGGATAGAATCAAGTGATATAGTTCTAAGTTAGGTACCAATGACATGTAAAATAGACTGAATGCTTATGTTCCCCAAAAGTTCTATGTTGAAGCCCTAACCTCTAATGTTGTGGCATTAGGAAATAGTCTTTGCAATGTGATTAAGTCATATGGATGGAGCCCTCATGAATAAGATTAGTGTTCTTATAAATGGGAATCCAGAGTTTTTTTTCCCTCCCTCCTTCATCCATGTGAGGACACAGCAAGAAGGGAGCCATCTATGTACTGGGAAGCAGACCCTCAACAGGCAAGACTTCTGGCACCGTGACTTTGTACTTCAAAGCCTCTATAACTATAAGAAATAAAAGTGTGTCGGGGGATGGTATTCAGCTCCAGCTAAGATAGAAGACCACTATATGGCTGACCACCAAAAAAAAAAACACAGACAATTGAAATAGATTTGTAAACAACATGACAATGTATCAATCTGATACTACCCAAAAGTATCTATGCTAAATATGTGCATGGAAATAAAAGATAAGATGGGGAACTTCAGCCTAACACTGAAAACTTAGAGAAATAACCAAAGGAAACATTTAAAACTGAAAACAATAATGACAAATGGAAATCTCTGTGTGGATGAGTCTAGCAGCAAATTGATACAGCTGAAGAACATCAATAATCTGAAAAACAGCTTCAAAGAAAAATTGTAGAATAGAGTTCAAAGAGACAAAACTGTGAAAATGCTCAGAAAAATGTAAAAGGTAGGAGAGATACAGGGAAAGAGTAATAAGTACATATTCATCAGCATCTCAGAAGGAGAGAAGAGGATGGACAGAAACTAGGAATTAAGAATAACAGCTGGTATTTTTTCTTTTACTGCTGAAAGATGTCAGCCTACAGATTCACAAAAGCCTGAGCTACATAGACATAAGGAAATTCACATAATTTAAAATAGCCAGGGTGGGGATATCTAGAAAAACATACCTTAAAATAATTACAGTCATCAGCTTTGTTTTTATTACATTAAGATTTATGTTTTCACAGTTTCTTTCAAGTCTTGCATCATAAGATGTAACCTTTTGTTTTGTTATTATTTTGTCATTACTTTTTGTTTGATTTTTATTATTTCTTAAGCATGCAGCAGAATTACTTGATCCTCTCTCATCCACCAATACTCTCTGTTAAGCATCTAAACCTAGAATTCTGTCTTTTGCCCTTTATTTTTCTCTGCCCATGCAAATCTCTTAATCTATTGTACAATCATGCAATAATATAATTTTCCACAAAATAAGTATAGCTTCTAGACTCTGGTAGAAAAACAATGTTTGCTAACATGGAATAAATATTCATTCAAATAATCCTTTTATTTTTTTTCTCCTGTGTCAAGAAC